ACTTGCCCTTCCCCCCTTCCTTCTCTGCTCTCACATAGCTGTGTATATTTCCAACACAAGTCTGCTTTTACCGGTTCCCACGGTCTCTTCGCTTGCAGGTTTCTTATATTTTTTCTTCTACCCTGAAGATGGAGACGATACGTTCCTCCGAAACGTCGGTTAACACCACATATACACGGTGCCAAATCCCAGAAGACTGCTTTCTTCAGGCTTTATTTAATTTACCTATAATTGAATCTATATGTTTTTTCCAAGATATTGTGTTATCCGGTGTCATACCCAAGAATTTTACCTCATTTGACTCTAATAAAGTTTTGTTTCCATATTTAATATTTAATTTTTTGGTAAAATTATGTTTAGATGAGAAATTTATACAGCAAGTCTTGCCTAAATTTAATGAAAGCATATTTAAATTAAACCATTCATTCATCGATCTAAACACCGTAGTAAGTTTTTTTCCAGCTGCATAAAATTTAATTCATCTACTATTACACTTGTATCATCGGCAAATAGCATAACTGATGTATGTACTGATTTTGACCAATCACATTGTAATAGTAGTTTCCGCTTGTATTGATATATCCTTCTGAAGATGGTCTCTCAGACCGAAACATGTGAAGGATGAAAGATTCATAATATTGCTAGTGTGAGAGACCAGGATGAACAAAATCAAATTCAGGTTATATTTGTCAGCACAACAATTAATTATAAACTAAAATTAAAATGTTTGATATTAATAATTCAGTAATGATATAATTCATAAAAACCACCTGATGGTCTTGAACAAAACGTCTAGTGGGATGAAAGTAAAATAACATGAACATTTTATTATCAGTTTATAATTAACTGCCATGTTGTTGGCCCCTAAGTATACCTTTCTTAGAATAAAAATGTTATTTACCTGTTTCATCTTTTGTTTGCAGTATGGCACCACATGCCCTTTGTGCCATGGCGATGCAGGTTGATTACCTGACTTATTCAGAAGAAATATTCTTCATTTAGATAAATTTACCTCAGATTGTGTAAAAAAAAAAAAGAGATTCTATATTTAAGTACATTTAGTTTATTTTGTTTATTCTTGCAACATGTACTTAGTATGTCTTGTGTATGTTCTGAGATTTAAATAATAAAATATTTACCTCTGTTGTGTTGTAACTTCTTTAATGACCAAGGGTTCAAACTTAGCAAAGAATGGAATCGCATCACCATGTCATTAGGGCATTCTGGCATGCATAGGCCAAGAAAATCCCAGGCAGGCAAATTCAGGGAAGAAGATGAAAAGAAGGCACAGTAATTGACAACAGGGGCACCAGTTTAAATGACATGGTGATAGGTTAGCATCAGATGGATGACTACCCAATTTGACTCCAACCTCCTGCTGCATCATATGCCAAGAGGATGAGTCAGCGATTCCACAGATTGGCGTATATATCAGCGGTTTGTGGTAATTCACCACATCAACCCTGAAGGTGGAGATCTCTGAAATGTTGGTTTTAACTTAGCACCAAGATGACTGATTGCCCAATAAGATTTTAACATATTTTTAAGCTGTGAAAGCTTCAAATCTTCCATATTCTGACCGAATCATTTTACCGTTCCATTCCGAGTGTTTCTTCTTGTTTGCTTATGATCAGACCTTTTCAGGCATATATTTTTTTGCTTTTGTAACAGCCTAAAGCAATACAGATGTCTGTTGTAGGTGGTTAAGAGATTATTTTCATAATACCGCTTTTTCAATTTGTGTGCACGTGTGTGTCATGAATGAACACACACTGCACGTGTAAAAGCTGAGAATCTCGTACCTCACTGCCACTTTCACTTTGATGTTGTTTAACCGTTCTCCTACCTACTGTTCTACCAATTTATTCCTTATAATGTAAGATCATAATAAACTGTGCTGTAGAGATTGTACTCAGGGAACATTTCATATAAATTATCTCAAATGGATTTTATTAGTGCTAGTAAGTATATAATGCATGTGTAAAGGTGGTACTGAAGGCAGTAAACATCTTTTGACACATTCCTTAGTAATGTGTATGTGTGTGTGTAATTCACATATATTTTACTTCAGAATCATTTGTTACAGTATATTGTACAGAGTGTTTCATAAGTCTGGAACAGTGGTCTCACAGGTAAAAATTAACGAGTGTAAATTCAGGGGACTGTGGTGGTCATTCCACTGGTCACTGGTCTAGCTACCCTTCTTTTGCGGCAATAAAAGGTGTTTGTTAGGTGTAAAAACAGGGAAGCAAATTCTGTTGAAATTATGCGCATTTCATTAGAGAGATGTTAATGAGTCCCAGTGACATGATATTTGTGAAGATAACTGCACATTGTACATGAGCCATCAGTTTTCCTAAGAAGGTCTGGATGAGTGTGTTTCTTCCAGTGTAAGTAATGCCAACGTTCCAGGCTGAATGTACAAGTGTTTGTATTGAGGGTGGGGATGGATGAGAGGTTACCAGATGTATTTGATATTTTTCTTTTATTGCTAGTGGGGTGGGACTAAGTCCCTTGTACTGTGGCCACTTGTGGCCTATTGTACCAGCCCCA